GCCCAGAATTTTGAGACTCTGCATCCTAATTGTTCACAAAAGTGGCTGGAGAACAATTGTTTAATAATGCATTAAAAATATACTGATGGGGGCTGGGGATTTAGCTCAGCAGCATAAGCACCTGCCTTGAAAGCAGGCGGTCATGAGTTCGATCCCGGAACCGATAAAAAAAAAAAATGTATATATATACTGGCAATGTTAAAAAAAAAATCATCCAGTTTACCTTCATATAGAAACCAGTATTTTTATGTCCAGGAAACATTATCCTCTAAACCTTTATAATTCTCTTGATCAAGTAAAAAGCCTTGTTTGGACTGCTGGCACTTTTTTTTCCCTGTTAGAGGCCAGTATGTTTGAAAGTGAGCCACGCTGTGTGTCTGGTGACTCACTGAGACATCCACGTGAATGCATGGCTTAGAACAAAGAGAAGAAAGGGAAGGAAGCAAGGGTCTTCTCGGACTGAAAATGGTCCCAGGTTGCCCTTGTCACTCCTCTGACACAGCCCAGAGGCTCCCAGACCCTCCAGCACTCCTTCAGCAAAACTTCTGAAGAAGTATCCTCATCCTTTCAACAGGACACAGGTTAATCCTTGTCAGCAAGTAATCTAGAATTCACTTTAAAAATAACTCTAAAAAGAGACTGATGTTGGGATTTCGAGGCAGGGTAGCTCTGGGCTCTGCAGCACTGGCCTTCGTGACCCACTTGCCCACAATTGAGCTTTTTCGAGGAGCCCCTGTGTTCAGTCATCTTTGCGCCTTTGCCTCTTGTCTAAAATTATTGTTTACTAGTAAACACATTTTAGTACACTTTTACTGAATAGGTCTACTTTTAGACCTGCTTATCTATCTTTTGAGATCATCAAAATCTCATTTATCCTCACTCTAACTGCTATAACATAGGAAGCACTTTGCCTTCTCTTGGAGGGATATTGTCCTAATATCTGTCTCTCTTCATGCACACACATGCATTTACACACATGGATGCACACACACATGCACCTCTAAATAGCTCTGGTGCTAGAACCCCAGTTTCCAGGCTCAGACCCAGGAAGACCTAGTGAAACTCCCTCTTCCAGTTTTCTACCTTCTCCAGCTGCTTTTGTTACAAATCAAGAGCTGCGTAGCTACCTGCACACCATGCAGCTTTAAAAGGAGAAAGCTGTCTGAAAGATGCACAAATATTGTGACTCCCTGTAATGAAAGCGTCTCTCCCGGGAGTCGGGAAGAGAGAGTATGTGGAAATCTTAACCTCTTTGAACATCTCATCCTTTAAGTAAAGCTCCTATTTAAAAGTAGTCCCCAGAGGCTCTATGCTTGTCATCTTCCCCGACATTTTCGTACTGGACTGTTTACTAGTGAGCCAGCTAATGTGGTGCATAGAGAAAGGAGGGAAGGCCAACCCGAGCTCTGGCTTTGTTCCGGGAACGCAACTGCAGAGTGGCCAATCAGTCAGCAGCCCTATGGTCAGATTCCAGACTGCAATTGCCGTTTAATTTCTCCCTGGGCATAGATCTTTTCAAAGTCAAAATGGTGTCATAGAAAAAGTCATCTTAAAATTAGACACAGCTAGGTTCAAATCCCTGATTCTCTACTTATGTTCAATTCTGGGCACATTACTCAACTTGTTGGTCCATTCAGGCAGCTATAACCAAATACCATAGGTTAGGTAATTTATAAACAATAGAAATGTATTGCTCACAGTTCTGAAGGACTGAAGTCTCACATGGAGACACTAGAATATTCAGTGTCTGGTAGGGATCTCTGCTGTCATGGAGGCTATGCCTTCTAGCTGTGCCCTCACATTGTGAAAGGGGCAAACGAGATCAGGCCTCATGTATAAGGGCCTTATTTATATGGACACTAACCCCAATCCTGAGATTAGGTTCTGCTTTCATGATTTGCTCATCTCCTAAGGTGATGCTCACCATCTATTAATACTGTTTACTATTACATGAGGACTAGGTTTCAGTATATGGGTGATGGGGGAGGGAGGATAGAGCATAGTACTCCTCTGAGTTCCCCCATCAGCTAGCGAGGGTATTAACACCAGTTTTGTAGAAAGTCATATTGATTAACAGGGTAGAATGGAACTTGACTGAGTGGTAGGGAAACCCTTTCCACACAGGATTCCAGAAGGAGGAGCTGTGGACCTCTGGGGCCTATCTGGTTTGCCCTTCTCTGGTGTGTTGCTGGAGCTGAGATTAGGAAGCTGTTTGCATTGTCTTCCTGGCTGAGGGCTTGTATGTAATGCATTCTTGCTTGAGAAATGTTAATAATGAGCTACATGATCTCAATGCCTTGCAAAGGACAGTGAGTCATGCCTGCTGACGGTCCTTTTGCCTGTCTTGAGGGTTTCAGTTACTCTGTGTTCCTCTGAGGAATGCCTGGTTCCCTCAGAACGGCCCTTAGCAGCTCCATGTGATTGAAGTCACACCAGGCTGGTTGTTAGCTAGGTTTGTGCAGGGAAGGGCCAGGATGGATTAATACTCTGATGGCCTCTGGAGCTGCTTTCTTTTCCCCTTACCTCCTCTCCACCACAGCCCCTGCTCTGCCTCAAAGAACATCAGCATTCCTCAAGACCATAGTGTACTGGGGAGCTCTCACGGCATCCCCAAGGCCTGGATGGAAACACTTTAAGGAACTGGCCCAGTAGTCAGTGTAGGAAAAGAGGGGCTGGTCTAAGCTGTGAGCTGAGCTGCTGCTGCACCTCCAACCCTGAGCTCCATCCTGGAGTCCCCTCCAACCTCGAGTATCCTGTGACTTTCTCATTCTTGCTGAAAATCTTGTTCACTTAGGGAAAACAAAAAAAGGAGAAACTAAACAGAAACAAACAGATGTCTTTCAATCCTAAATATGACCCTTGCTGAATTAATTAGCTAATCAATAATTCTATGCTTGAAAAATGGATCAGCTACAATTAAAAACTCATAGTACAGTAGAGAAGGCAAAAGATAATGTATGGACCACTTTGCACCAGACGTCATCCGAAGGTTTGTCAGACACTTGTCTATTCTGCAGTGTGTGGGCTGAGACATCACGTTGTGTCACTTTGAATTTGAGCATCAGTGGAGTAGTGTATTTAAGTTTTTGGCTTAAATATTATCTCTTTTGAGTATTGTTCCACTGATCATCCTGTCTAAAGCAACACCGCACCCCATTCCTCATTCCTCATTGTTTTCCATCATGTTACCTGTTCTATTTCTTCAGAGCACTGTCATCATCCATTACAAGTATCTGCTGAGAGTCCTCTAGGAACCAAGCTCGATATCTAGTGGCAGGTGAAGCAACCCATAGTAAGTGCTGTTATCCTAGCATTCACATTTTAGTGGGAGACACAGACAAACAGGCAGCCAACAATAAATACTGTAGTGTTCTAAAATACTTGTTTATTTTCTGTGTCCCTTAATAATGCTGTTAGCGCTTTATGAGCAAATTCTGGGATGTCTTGATTTCTGCAAAATTCCTAATGCCTAGCATGGTGTTTAGCACATCATATGTTTCAAAATGAGGATTAAAAAGAGATTGGATTTTGAAGAAATAAAAGTAGGTAATAATAGTGATAAAATAGATGATCCTTACTAACACTCTGAGTGCAGTGCCTGGACTAAGATAAATAAACTCTTAATAAACTGTCTGGGTGTCTTTCAATTAGATTTTAAAACTGTTCTTAGCTACTTTTCTATGCTGTGTCTGTAATAATGCTAACTATAATAATCACTTCAGGAGGCTGACCCTGTGTGGACCCCTGAAGGACCATCTGAGCCTATATCAGAAACTTCCCCACAGGAATGGGATGAGAGGAATCTTGGAGTTCCCCTGAAAAGTAAAGTAAGCCTCCACCAGCCTTCTTGCTGTGGGGTAAATTAGGGTACCACCTTCGTGTATGTTGGGAATGACCCATGGAAATCAGAAACTAGAGTCTAAGGTAAATGGAAGTGAATATGAACAGAGAAAGAAGGAAAGGAGGAATGGGACCAAAGCTGACTTTCTTTCCTTCCAAGGCCCCTTTCTCCCAGTCAGTGTAGGGAAGAGGAGCGTCACCAGCAACTGTGAACTGTGTGCTAGGGTTATAGAGAGAGGGCCAGCAAAGTAATACAGCTGCCTTGACGGCAGCTACGTGCTCCAGTCCTCTCCCTCTTGCCTTGGCTTTTGTTTTGAGATGAATGAAGTGAGTAATGCTGAACTAACCCCACACAAAGCTTGCCTAATCTCCATACGCCATAAAACTCAGTACTTATTTAATTGTGTTTTTAGTAGTACTTGAGACTGAACCTAGAGCCTTTGCTACATCCCTGACCCTTTTTTACTTTTTTACTTTGAGGCAGAGTCTTGCTAAGTTACTAAGTTGCCCAGTCTGGGTTTGAACTTACTATCTTCCCTGCCTCCGCCTCCTAGAGTGCCAGGATTTAGAAGCATGGGACACTGCACCCACCAAAACTCAGTTTTTAGGAAAAGTGACCACATGATTATCATTTACTATCTGTCCTATTAAGGGATTTATCTTTTTCCCTGTCTATAATCATTTTGCTGCCAGCTGTGTCTTGGCTTTTTTTTTTTTTTGATCAATTAATCAAAACATTTTAGGGCACATGCTTGTCTTCAAATCCTGCAAGGTGTTGTGGCTGGAAGAGAATCCCAGAACCTGGCTCACTGATGTTGTTGAAAGGTGCTCAGTATATGTCTGCTTGCTGCCGCAGCCCAACCTTACTCAAGGGACAGGGATGCCTTGAGAACGTGAGGCAAAGAATTCTCAACAACCTATCCCATCCACAGTGCAAGGAAGGGTCAAGTAGCCCATGCAGTTAAGATGGAATGCGAGCACAGTTTCTAGATATTGTCAGACATCCATCTCCATTTTTCATCGTGAGGCAATGGTGGTACTGTCTGGAGGCCCAGCTCTTATAAGAACAATCTGAAGCTGGCTCATAAAAATCCTTTTGTTTCCTTTAAAGCACATATTCCCTCATATCCAATGAACTAAACATGACCAGAATGAGGAAATATTGACAACATACCAATTTAATAAACATGTAAAACATTAAAAAGAAATAATCAGAGCTAAGCATTGCTAAGAGAGGTCAGATTTGCTGCAAGCTGAGTTTTCTAGGCCTTGTTATAAAACCTCTGCAAACAGAACTATATCCTGTATTCATGGCCTCCTGGATGTAAGCTAAAGTCTCCGGCACACTACAGTGTCTTTCTTGTCAAGCTCACCACTGCAGCTTAGCATGGATACTACCAAATACCTAAGAGAAGCACCAAAATCGAGAGGATTTGGGGCAACAAAAACAGGGTCAGGTGGTCCAGCGTTTGGACCTCACACTGACTGCTCTTCTCTCTTCCTCTTCCTGACTGTACCTCCGGTCCCCTTCTCTTGGGCACTTTCAGGTCTGCCCTTTGGAACATCCTCTCTGCATCGTCATCCCCTGATGGGTAGTAGCAATGTGCCCTCTGAGCCCGGTGTTAAGCTGTGCAGCTTCCTCCCGTGCTCAGTCTCTCCGGTCAGCCTGGCCCAGCTCAGTCCTCCCTCCTCCTCTGCAGCTTAGTCCTAGTTTCTTCCTGCCGTCGTCTCCAGGCAGCGATGATGGCCTCATCATCCATCTCTTCCTCTTCCTCCCTGTCGTTGCTCCTCCGATACTGGGACCGCCGCCCAGATGCAAACCTCCCCTCTTCTCTGTTTTCCTTTCTCTCTTTCTCTCCCTCCTCTTCAGATCTCATGAAGCTCTGGGTGAATTTCCTCTTGGCTCCAAATTCAGAGAAGTCTGATTTGGATGACTCTTCCACGTCTTCCCAGTTGCTGGACCTGCCCCAACTGGGACGCTGGGGTTCCGGGGACTCTTCCCCTTGGGAAGGTTCGGGGGTCCGGCGGAAGAAGTAGGGTTCTGGGCTCCCCTCTCGAGAGCTTGCGGTCTCACTGAATGTGGACCTGGAGAACTTATGTATTTCTCTGCCCTCCCTGGTGGAGGAAGAAGAGAACCGCGAGGTGCTTCTTACCGAGCTGCCATCTGCCTCATAGTAGGAGGAGGTATCCTGTTCCTGTGACCGGGATTTAGAGAACTTGTAACTAGAAGATTTAGACTCGGTTTCCCGGAGCAAAGATGATCTGGTGTACTTTCCTCTGGAGCTTCCTGACCAGTCACTTTGAGGAGGAGATCTTTCCTCTGTCCCTAGGCCACTCAGCCACTTACTAATGCTGCTATCCCTGTCTTTGCCAGCTCTGCTGCCATTTCCATAGTGACCAGAGACAGCCAGGGAGGAGGAGGTGTCTGTTTCAGGCTTTTGGGAATTACTGCGGGAGGAATACTGGAAGCTGCCGATGGCACTGTCTGTGTCCTCATCCCCATTGCCCACACCATCATCCTCATCTTCTTTGATCTTCTTCTTCTTGAAAAGGGAGCTGCGCTTATTGTCCGAAGCCAGTTTCTCCATTTTGTACTCTGACATCTTCTCCCTCAGCTCCATTTGCATCTCTCTCTCCTTCCGGCCGAGCTCCTTTAGGTCCACATTGTCAGCAAAGAGGCTGTAGATGGGCTTGCTGGTCCCCCTAATGCTGCTCCCCGTGCCTTGGGCCCTTGAGCTCAGCGCGGAGCTGGAAGACAGCAGGGACTGTGCATCACAACTGGCTCTGGCCTGGCTGGGCAGCAGCGGGCAGCTCCCCAGGGAAGAGCTGCTCTGTCCACTGAGCATGGACACCTGGTCATCCCCCGGGCAGCTGGCTGCTGGTACAGCCCTCGAGCTTGCCACAGATGGTGGGCGAGACAGCAATAGCATTTCATTCTGCTTCTGGGCGAGGGTCTCAGTGACTACACTGGCAATCCAGTTCTGGATGCTGGCGATGGCAATGGCGTCGCTGGGCCCCACAGGCAGGTTAGGCAGGGGGGGAATGGGTGTGCAGGCTGAGCGTGGTCCTATGCTGCTTGCAGCCTGGGACATGTGGGAGTGGTGGCTCTGAGTGCTGAGCACTGATGCATTGTCCCCGTCGGCACTGACCGAAGAGGCTGCAGACCATAGTGCCGACAGGGGGATGCTCCCACTGGCCACTGAGCTGCCTGCCTCCCAGCTACCCATGGACTGGCTTTCCTCCAGCGTCTGCCTGCACCGCTCCAGGAGCTCCAGCCTGCGCTGCCTCTTCTTGGCCGAGGCTGTGTCCTCTGTCTTGCTCATCTCCACCACCTCCTCCCTGTTCTCACTGCCCACCTTCTTCTGATGCTTCAGCTTCCAGGCCTGGTAGGCTGTCAGGTTGACATCTGAGAGGCTCTTCTTCTCCCCCTCTTCCTCCTCGGCCCCAGGCTCACTGCTGCCATCCCCCACCTCAGAGTCTTTCTTGTGAAATCCAAACTGAATCCTCTTGATCTTCCACCTTTCCAGGGCAGTGAGCTTCTCCTTGTTCCTGCTGCAGAAGTTATGGAAGGAGCTGGCCTCCGAGGTCACGCTGTCCTCATCGTCCTCCCGCAGCCTGCTCCCGGCCTCTGAGCTAGCGGCTCCCTCCTCCCTCCTGCTCTGGGAGTGGTACCTGCGAGCAGCCTCCTTCTCGATCTCCAGCAGCCTCTCATTCCACACGTCCCAGGTGCTCTCAGTGGACACCGAGTCTGCGCGGTGCCTGCCACCTCTGCTCCGGCTGCTCATCTCCAGCTGCTGCTTCAGCACCTGGATGTCCTGGCTGCTCACGCTCTCAGAGATGCTGCTCTCACTCAGGGTGCGTCTGCGTCTCCGCCCTATGGAGGAGCCTGTGTCACTCTCCTCCTCTTCCTCCTGCTCCTCCAGACCCCACTGCCGATGCCCTTCAGCTTGGTACCGCTCATTTCGGCTCTGCCACTCCTGGATGATCTTCCTCACATCCTCATCCTCATCCTCATCTTCATCTTCATGCTCATCCCCATCCCGGCCAGAGGCTACAGAGCCCCTGCCCTCTCCGCTCTGGGGAGCCCTGCTTTCGGGCAGGCCCTGCCGCTTCCTCCACTCTGCATACAGCTTTTCCTCCTCCTCTTCGTCAATGAGGGTGAGAGGCCGGGAGGCCTGGCTGGCCTTCCCCAAGGAGGAGCCGCTCAGATGGCTCAAGTGGCTGGTGGTGTCATCCTCCTCCTCTACTGTCAAGTCGTGCACTCTGGCCCCAAATGTGCTCCCCATATCTTCGCCCTCCTCGATGCCCTCCTCTCCCTCCTCTCTGCCGTAGTCCTCTTCCCTCTCCTCCATCAGCTTCTCATTGAGTTCCCGCAGCTGCTTCAGGAAGCCGTCATTGGGGTAGATGGCCCGCTTCTTGCGCATGGTCATCAGGGCCTCCAGGATGGCCATGTTGTGGAAGATCATCAGGTAGGCAGCCACCAGCACTGCTGATCGACTGATGCCCATTTCACTACTGACCAGGACTTTCCCTGAAAAGAAAACCAAAAGTACATGATATGCCAGCAGAGGATTCCCGCGGTGTTCTGCTAAAATGCTGTCTCAATCTGCTGAGCGTATTCTGCACAGTTTGCCCATGCTCCAGTGCCCAAAGGATGAGGACCATTGTCCCTGTATCACAGATGTCACAATGGTCTTCTGTGTCCCTGTTTTTGAAACACTACAGTGTTTCTACTTTCTCTCCACAAACTCTTTCGTCAAAGGCAGGAATAAAAGAATGGGGCAGGGCAGAAAAGGAAGAAGAGGAGGTAAAGATGAATGGATCCCCCGTGGAGAAACACACCACCAGGCAGTCTAAATGTGAGCTTCCTCTTTATAAGACCCTCCATGCTGGGTCACCATCCCACAGCCTGTGCTTGATGCTTTAGTGAGAGAGAGCTCAGCAGCTCACCGACACGTGGATTCACTGCCCCCACCTTGCACTGGTGCCCTATAAGTATGGACAATTCTCTCATATATCAGGGCAAAATATAGCTTCCATCTCCCAGAAATATCAAGGTCTCCTACACCAACATTCGATATAATCAAGACTTTTTACACAAAAAATCCTCAAGAAAGTTTCTATTATTTTCTTCCCTCAGGTTTTTTTTCTTTTGCTGGCTATTCTGAGTCTTTCGATTATTACTCATCATCTTTTCATGTTCCCTTACAATTCTAAGTATTTTTCTCTGTGAGTGAAAGGTTGAATTTATTTGTTTGTTACTTTTTTGGGATTTTGTGTTTAGGATGGAGGAAGATATTTCAGGTTTTAACTGGCTCATGTAAAGTAGGGTGGGCCCTGCACCTGTGACATTTCCTTGTGCCATCTGTATTGGTTAGCTCTTTGTTACTATAATGAAATACATGAGGTAGGCTACTTTATGAGGAAAATAAATTTACTTTGCTTCTGGAGGTGCATCATCTGATGGTGGCCTTCACTCCCACTGGCAGAGTCTCAAGACAGCGTATAGCATCGTGGAACAAGAGACAGAATGCACATGCATCGCCTGCTGTTGTCACTTTTCTATTTCTTAAAAATCTACCAGGGTCAGACATAGTGGTTCACTCCTGTAGTTCCTGAACTCCAGGAGGCTGAGGCAGGAGGACCACAAGTCCAGCCTGGCTTACATAGCGATTTAATTAGACCCTATCTTAGAAAGAGAGAGAGAGAGAGACAGAGACAGAGGCAGATACAGAGACAGAGGCAGGAAAGGAAAAGTTAGGGATGTAGCTCAGTGAAAATGTCCTGGATTTAATCCCCCGCTGCCAAAGGTATAAGGAATGCTCCACCCTAACAACCTTATCTCAAGATAATCATCTCTCAAAGGCTGTGCCCCTGAGCCCCATAACTGGACTGTTTCTGCTCTCCTAACCCTTCACAATCAGGACTATATTTCAACACAAGGAGTCTTGGGGGACACTAAAACCATATCCAAGTCATAGGACTCCCTAAGCTTGCAATGTAGGCAAATATATCACATAATGAAATCAAATTATATTTTGTTCTGTTCAGTATATTTTATTTTTGAGAGGGTATCTTGCTGGGTAGCCCAGGCTAGCTCTAAACTCCTAAACTCAAGTGATCCTCTTGCCTCAGCCTCCTGAGGTTGTGACACGTGTATGCCACTTTGCCCAGCTCAAATCACCTTTTATTTTAACTAAAAGTTTTTAAACTTTATTACAAACTTGCTTCTAATGTCTCTCATATAATAACTTGTACACAAAAAGATAACTGTGCCAATTCCCATTAACATTTTTGTTGGAAGCAAACTGTGCTTATAGCTTACAGAAGTTTTTGCAGGTCCTGATTCTACCATGCAGCAGACTGACTGTCCGCTGATCTCTTTTGCTTTGCACCCTTTGTGAGTGCAGACTTGCCTTCTGATGGCTGCTTAAAATGCAGACTGAGACCCCTGAAGATCTTCTTCCTGGCTGTCATCAATCTGTTTCCTGACAGTCTTTAGGGATGCTTGCTAAATTGTCAAAGAGTCTTATCTACTAATATAAGATGGTAGGTAACCTTTCTATATTGTATCTTTGCACCTGTTAAGGGAGAAGAGGTTGCAGACTGAGGCTTGAGAGGGACCTAGGGCCCTGTGATGCTGGAACCCATTAATGCCAAGAGCTAGCATCCACCAGAGGGAGGTAAATGGAGCATGTTGGGCATCTCTGTCATTTTGTTCAGTTGATTGCAAAAGCTGGAAAAGCTGGTGCTGCTATTGATACATAACACACTATTTCAAATATATATATTTGGGGGGGGAGTTTTTGAAACTTTAGCTATGCTGCCAGCTTTGGAAAAAGTATCCCCAGTTTATCATATCAAGTTGGCATTGCGCAGAAATTAAAAGCCATACTGGACTAGAAACATTAAACTTACTTTTTTCTTATGTACGGGGGTAACACACTGTATTCAATATGTAAGGTTTTAACTATGTGGTTTGAGCATGGAAAATAACTGTGGGTTTGATTATGGAAAAGCAGAATCAGAGTGATAAAAGTAATTGCCTGTGATTCCCCTGTCTCATCCCCTTCCACCTATGTCTCAGCGCTCGGTGGCTGCTGCCCCTCATCAAGGACCTCCCCGTAACCATCCAATCAGACCACAACCTATTGCTCTTAGTGCCAGGGTTGTGCTCTCTTCCTTTGACAGGATGGCTCATTTTGGGACTTTTCAGGACAGGATCAATCAGTCTTTCTAATAAGGATGTCAAATCCTACTTACATCCATTCTGCCGACTCAGAGTGGGGTGAGATGTGTTCCCATGCTGTGTCCCTTTATGTCCTCAGGACAGCAGCCTGAGGAACAATGAAGAGGCTGGATGTGCGGGACCTGGGAGATCCCAGGGCCTCTACTCTCTTCACCCAGTGAAGCACCAGATTTTCTCTTCTCTCTGCTGGGCACAGGGCCTGTGCTAAAGGTGTACAGAATCTGCTCTGCACAACTCCCGGGTGCCTTGCATACTGAAACATATTTACTGCTTAGGATGAAAGTGTTCCAGCAGTTCACTAGTCTGAAGAAGGTGGTCTTTGGCTAACTTACAGAGTTACCATTTTGGTCAATAGCAGGGCTGTCTGGGGATGGGAAACTCCAGCTAGATGTGGGCCCAGTTTTAAAACTCCACAGAGAGCAGTGAGTGGAGAGAGCACCAGCTGTCAGGAGACTGGGTCACACTCTCGCATGCTCGGTGTGCCTCTCGGTGGCAGGCATTTTTGCTGTATCTCCCTAAATCCCGACTTCCCCTTTCCTCCAAACTCACACCTGCAGGGAGACAGGAGATATTTGTGCAGACCCCCAACTTGTCACTGTTCACAGAACTCAGGGGACACAAGAACCAGGGCCTGCTGAATTTCTCCAGGGAATTTGGAAACAGGAGAGAGGCAAGTAATTAGCCAGCTAATATCAGGCCTTTGTTTGCTTTCTGAAGTAGAGAAAGGAGAAGTGACCAAGAATCTCAAGATTGTCCAGACTATGTTCTTGGATTCTTTCCGGCACAGAGACCATAGGGTCCTTAATCCATCACTGGTTAAAAGCATAATTTGTGTTTTCTTCAGAGGCAGAGACCAAAAGCTGTCTTTTGCTAACTAAAAAGTTAACAAAACAAAACATGATGATTTTTAATTCTGTAGATGCCCAGTAGCTCACTTAAAGCAGAATAAAGCTTGGCTTTCATTTGATTTCCTGGATCAGATCCCTGCTCAGCTCTGCACACAGAGCTATGATTCCCCTGTCTTATTCCTCTCTGTTCTCCCCTCCCAGCTCAAATATAGGTTATTTAGGGACATCTGTCTAAGAACTGGAAAAACAAAATTGATTAGTCTTAAATTTGCATAACCTTTTTCACTGTGCTTCAAGACTGAGAACATCAAGAGGAGAGATTTCTAGGGACACTCACCAACCAACGGCCATCTAGAAGTCTCCAGCCACTGCCCTCCACTTACACAGCTACCTGGGATTCCAGGCAAGCCTCCCCAAGACTGAGACTACTTCAGGTAGAGCTGATCATATTATGGAGACCCAGTCTCCCCCTTGAGCAGTAAGGATGTCTCCAGAGCCACCTTGTAAAACCAGAACTGAGGGCCCAGGCCACTTCAGTTAACCCATAAAGGCTGATTGCTTTGCGAACTGACAATCTGGTCTCCTGCCCTGCCAGCCCCTATTGGGGACTGAACCCAGGGCTTGCATATAAGCTACACCCCAACCCTACCCTTTTATTCTATTTTTAAATTGAGACAGGATCCATTAAGTTGCTAAATTCCTAGGCCGGGCTAGAACTTGAGATCCTCCTGCCTCAGCCTTTCTTCCTCATCAGAGTTGTGCTTCTTTTATTTCCTTTTCTCTTACTTTCTGACTGTCTGATAAGTCCTCCTGTGCCTCACACAGATTCATCCTGAAATTCTTTTTCTGCAAGACTGAGTGAAGAACCTACTCTGGGAACAAGTTCAAGTCCCCATCTACTCTTTGCAAGACCTCCTCTGACCCTGGATGGTGGCCATCCTGTGTCTTTATATTCAGTGTCCTTGCTGTTTGTGGAGGAGTGCCACATGGGCTACTACTTGTTAGCAACCAAGAGAATCTTAATTGTTACATTGTGGCCCCATCAGGGGGCCCCGAAGGGTCTCAGCTTGTACTGCAAGCTTCAGATGTTCCTTTGCCGACTTCTACCCAGGTCCCACGCCCAAAGATACCCACAGAAGTCGAGGGCTCGGGAAAATGCTGCAGACATGCCCTCCCCACACCAACAGCACCACAGAGACCACTGTAGAGAGAAGCGGGAGGGAGAAGGTGGTGCTCTTCTCGGGCACCAAGCTGGGCAGCCTGCAGGGGAAGCCAAGGCACGAGTCTCTCCCTGGAGCCCCAGTGACTCCCAGTCACGCATCTCAGCCTGGAGTGGCCCCACTGGCTCAGGGATGCTGCAGGCTAAGTCCGTGCTGCTTATTTATGCTGTTACTCTGGCTTCCGTCCCACAGGGAGGGGAGCTGGTGTCTAGAGCTGAAGAAAAGGAGTAATCTCTTGCTGCCCCAGACACACGCAGTCCCACAAGAAGACAAGACATTCCAAGACACAGGTGCCTGAAGCACCAAAAAGGGAAGAAACCACTCCCATGCACATATGTAAAGACATACATGCTTCTATAAAATGTATACAAATATATATATACATTCTGTGTGTGTGCATGCGTGTGGGTTCCATTAGAAGTCACCCTGCCTGGCCATTGGCAATGTCCTTTATAGGAATCATTGTTATATTATTATTATAACTGTGATTTTTAAGCCTTTATCATGTGTTAGAGATTGTGGTGCATGGCTGTAATCCCAGCACATTGGGAGGCTGAAGCAGGAGGATCTAAAGTTTAATCTCACTTGGGCAGCTTAGCAAGACTCCATTTCCAAATAAAAAGAACTGGGGATGTAGCTCAGTGATGGAGCTCCCCCAGGTTCAATTTCCAGAACAGAAAAAAAAAATTTATAGTGATGGCTAAGCCAAAAAAATGGCTATATCTTTTTAAAAATTTGTCATATCTTAGGTGTTGTGCCAAATGATCTTATTTATATGCATTTAAATTTTATATTTCTCACAAGAACTTTAGGATTAGATGTTCTATGTATAAGGAGACTGAAGTTCCTCGGGATAAGAAAAGTACCTCAGGATTAGATGGTATAAACTAAGGGCAAGAAACCCTGGACTCTACCCTAGTTTCTGGACGGCAAATCCTGCCCATTGCAGGGGTACCAGCCTCCATCCAAGAGGCGGGAAGAATTGAGCTCTATGGACTCTGGTCTTACATGCCTCTCTTTTGATCACAGCAGTTGCCCCTGTCTATCTCTGCTTCCCAACACTGCTCATCTTCCAAGGTGGAGACAGTGACTTCTCAAACCACCTTGACTTGCCACCTCCTCCTCTCCTGCGCCCTGGCTTCCTGCCTGGTGGCCTCTGCCACTCTGCACTTGCTGCTGCCTTTGGCTTCCCGAGCTCCAAGCTTCCTCCACCTTGGAGTCTCCACACTAGCATTCCTGTAGCCAGCAATTCTCTCCTTCCACTTCTCCCCTGGTCAGCTACTTGTATTGGCTTAAATGTCTCAGCCTCAGAAAGGCCTTCCGGGCCAGCTCTCCAGGGAGCCAGCCAGTAAGTACATCTACCTACTTAACCTCTGACCAGCACCTTCCACTATCTCTCCCCTCACTGTGGTGAGATTACTCCATCGCCACAGTACCTGACACACATCAAGCCTTCAAATATCGCATACTAGTTGAATCGTCATCCTTTCTCCTCTTCCTAGAGAACACCATCATCTCAAGGCAGATTTCCTCCAGACAGCCAGGAGGTTTTCATAACAGCCCTGGCACTGCTCCCCACCCCCATGGAATTCAATAGCCTGGAGGCAGTAGGAACCCCTCACCTCTGTAGGTCAGCAGTGCTTCATCAAGGAACTCGGCAGCCTTCCGGAAATGTTGAGAGATGTCCACCTCCGGAAAGTCATCCACCTCCACTCCCAGGTACTGGATCTCCAGGCCAGTGTAGAATTCGGGGCCAGTGTACACACCAGTGCCATGTGCAGCATTCAGGATGTGGGTGATCCCGAGCCTCTTCAACCTCCCCTTGTTCACAGCCACGCTCCTGAGGGAAGAGGCAAGGACATGTTGGCCAGAATCAGACCCAGAAAGGTGAATTACCAGCGTGATGAGGGGCCTGCTTCCTGGGTCAGGAGGGCATCATGGGTGGGGGCTGCCTTCTCTAGCCATGGAGATTGGGCTCACTGTGATTTTATAAAAAGGGCCATGACTTGACTAACACAAGCCAGAGAGAAGAGATTGCTGGTGAAAGGTGGAATACAAAGGAGAACAAAACTGGTATGCAAGGAAATCCTGGGGTGGTGCAGAGAGCTCTCATAAAACACCATGCCTTGGGAATGTACATTCATCAAAACACAAAAATGATAGACAAAAATAATAAAATTAGGCATATTACCACATGGATATTGCATGCTATATTTTTCAAAATTGTATCACATCATTATTTTATTTTATCCTTATAGTAAACTTAAGAGGTAAAAAGTGCATTGTTTTTATTTCTATTTGAAGACTACAAAAATGAATTTAAGAGGTTTCGTAGCTACTCAAGACTGTGAAGAGAAAAAAGACAAGACAGTGTTTTGGATTTCTGTTCAGACCTCTTTTTGCTGCAGCTGTATAAATGGAGCTCAATTTGAAGAGGCCCTGAAGACAGGGTTACCCAAGAAGGAGCAGAGAAAACTTTAGCTGGGATTATCTGGGGATGGCTGGCATCCCTGGTGACCACAGAGTGATGCTTCTAGAGATACAGACATAGTTAAACATCCCATGGGAGTTGGCACCCACTCTGAGAATCAGGTTCTAGGCAACTGATTACCCTGCTATAGAGCATAAAATACAATGTCCAAAGCTATTTTCCCAAATTCCCTCTTCCGCTTCGGGATAAATGGGTAATTATACTGAGAGGTAATTACCTTTCATTAAATAGTCAATAGATCAACAAAAATTAGTTTCACAAATTAACCTACTGATACCAATTATGCATGGGCAAGACCCTGAAGGAATAGACTGTGAATGACTTATTTTTGTACTGATAAACTTCTAAAATATAATTGTTTTCTGATTATAAAACCTGTACCATTCCAAAGAAAATGTGAAGGAAAATAGAAACCACTTATAAGAGCACCTCCCAGAGAGAAATACTTACTATAAACATTGTACCACATTTCTTTCTAATTTCTTATGGAAAAACATGCATGCACACCATAGATATTACTTGATTAGTGTGAACTGTATACATGCAGTGTTCTTTTGTAGTCTAATTTTTCCTCCTAGTATATTGCGCACATTATCATATATTGGTAAATATAAATGTGTGTCAGTGTTGTCAATAGCCACCAGTGTACCGCTGCAAGGATGGTGGAGATGGAGAGGTGACCAGAGTATGTCAGGTAAAGACTAAGGTTACAACAGAGCGTCCTGATGATGGGAGGGAGAGGTTGAATGCTCAGTTTTGCAGGGCATCTCTGTGTGCAGAGGCATGGAGAGTGTTTCTCCAAGGCCAGGGCAGGATAAGTGATCATACAGCCTTCATCTGATGGATGATGGAGTTATGGCAATCTTTGATGAACACTGAGGGAGTATAGTGTCCCTCAGGTACCAAACAGAGGTGTAGGAGAGAGGTGAAACTAGACTCACTTCTCAGCTATGAAGATGTTGGGCCAGACCTCATCCACCTCATTCCGGGGGGCCTCCTGGCGATCCTGGACCAGAGCTCGCTGCAGGTCCAGTACACAAGGGGTATTGTATAAACTGGTGTCATCCATCTTTTCCTTCACACGATTGTACAGGTCTTCCACCAGCAGCTGCTCAGCAGACTCCAGCATGCCCGGACACTCTGTGTCTGTGGGGAGTCCTCGAGGCTTGAGCTCTAGAGAAAAGAGGTGGCATTTACAGCAGTGAGTTGGGAACATTGTGGCTTTCCCTGGCTGTTGGGAAAACTTGCTCAGTACTTGGGTCCTGAATATGGACAGAATGCCCGCAGGATCTGCCAGAAAGGACTTAATGGGGACCCGAGGGATGAACAACATTGCTCTGGACACTTGGTGGCAGTATCACCTGCAGGTGCATGTGAAGGAAAGGAACTCTAGCCCAGTTTCACTGACTCACTCTTTTGTCTAAATTCACTAATACATTTTTAGAGCCATGTCTTTGCGTATTAGAAGTGTGTCAGATTCATGCTTGCTATGGCTTATGTCTAGATGTCCCCCCAAAGCCTCATGTAGTCATAGGTAGAGTGTTTTCAGAGATGGCTGGATCTAGAGTGTATGACTGATTCATGGTGAAATGCTAGGATGAAGGGTGCTAGGATTAAGGGTGGGTGATTACTAAATCAGTCCATTGATTGGTTTGGCACCACCCTAACCCTGGTAGGCTGTGCACAAATATGAGAGACAGAATGAGGCTTGTTTTGTCCCTTGCTTGCTTGCTTTGCTACCTTTTGCCCACCATGAACTGTTTCTCCTCTGCAATCCCTGTCTGCCACACTGTAACCTCTATACACTGAGAGTTAAATAAACTTTCCTCCTTTAACTTTGGGGGTTGGGTATTTTGTTTCAGCAACAGGAAGAGTAACTAAGACAATGCTTGTGACTCCTACATTGCCTAGTACAATGTAGATGTTCAGAAGTATTTACCAAATGAATAAATTATGTTCTTTCATAGCAATTTACACTATTGAGTTGCTTACATATGGAATGTAAGTAACTGTGAAAAGTAAAATGTTCAGTAGCCATTTATGCAATATTAGTTTGTACTAAAAAACTTACTATACTTCATTTATTGTCTGCTTCCCCACACCAGAGCTGAGCACTTGTGATTCTTAGTCTCCCAGCTGTCAGACGAGTGCAAAAATCTGCCATGTCAGCCTCAAACCAGGACCCAGGGCCTTTCTGACAGCTGGTCAGAAAAGTGCAGATTCCAAATGAACTCAAATTCTAATGCATTCATATTGGGGGGTCTTTATCTCCTCCTAATAGAATACTTGCTCACAATTTACCAATTTTGAGGGAAAAGAGATGTTTCCTTTTACTAAGAAGTGTCAGAGGAGGAGAAAGCAAAACCTTCACTCTCAGTAACCGAATATTGAATAAAGTTAAAGAAAAAAAAGAAAAGTATGCCTTCTGTGTTGACTGTAGCCTCTAGCCAGCAATCTCTGGGCAGGAAGCTACAGGACCAGCATGGCTACATTTGGAAGACGGCGTTGGTCCATCTCCTCAGGGAATCATCTGGCAGGTTAACTCTGTGGTCCAGGGCTCAGGGTCCCATTCCTAAAACTCCTCTTTTTTCCTGTCCCTCCTGTAAAGCAACTGACCCCCACTGTCAGTCCTGCTCAGGTGTCAGCTCTAAACATTCTCTGAGCTCCATTTCAAAAGCAGAAAGAAGACCTCTGCAATCCCTGAGCTCTATTTTGTTTAAAAATAGATGAAGGTTTCCTATTTTCTCCATCACCCACTTTTCTCCCCTGGCTCCCCTGGGGCCTTGTATTCCCAAATGCAAAGCCCTTCTCCTTCCCTAACCTACATAGATATCTTTCCTTTCCAATATGCAGAAAATAGAACTCACCCATGCCTCATTAGAAGGTATGATATTGTAGTCCTCAGCTACTCATACAGCAGGGTGCTTGTTTGATTTCTTCCCTTTTCCCATTAAAAACAAATGCGCCAGCCCTTCATCCCCACTGGCAACTCTTGGTTTCCCTAGACTTCTTGTTCACATTTCCTTCCTGCATCAGTCCTCCTGTTTGTGGCCATTACCTGAGGTTTCTTCAGAAGAAAGTAAAATTCACAGCTTTCCCCCAGACAGGGGACATGTGCAGATTTTCACGAGGACTGAGGGTCCCTTAACAGGCAGCATTACCCTTCTGACCACTTGAGAGCTAGCAACGTTTTAAAAATATCGCCAGATACGTTTTCCTTTTGCTGTAACGTATTGTTTTTCCTTCCCCTTGCAGCCTTTCAATGTTGAAAGCTAATGAAATTTAGGTTTAATGCCCCAGAAAAGGAGACAATAGACAAGACCTAGCATTTAAAAAGGCATTGTTCATCTTGGGTTTCAACTAGACCTTGAATATCTATGGCATTCTGTAGACTCAAAAGTGAAACTCTCAAAGGAAAACATGGTTCCTCAACTCCTGAAGGCAAGCTTTCATTTATCAAGATCTGGACTCTGGAGACTGTCCCTCGGAGTGAGGCACAGCACAGTGATGATGCAGGGTGGAAGGTTAGATAAATTCCTTGGACTCAGGTGCTAGGGTAATGCTGGGAGCAATTCAGAAAGAGCTGACCGAGGGAGAGCTGCCTGGGGTAAGAACCCTGGCTGGCTTGGAGCAACACAACAGAGACCTCAGGTAGAGTAGAAAAAGAAACAGAAAAACAAGAAGCAGAAAAGAACTTTGAGAAGACCCCCACCCAACGCAGAGCAGCTAGCAACAGCAGTGCAGGAGACCCTAATCTCCTCCAGGGCTCCCCCAGAATCAGGGAATGGAGGGAGTACTGGGGTTATAAAGGCCAGGGAAGGGCCAGCAGCCACCACTGGTGGGTGCCAGATTCAGCCTAAGGACCACCTGGGCCTCATTTCACCAGCTGTAGTTGCCTTATTCTGTCCCCAGAGAAGTGGGAGGAGAAAGGGGAGGAGTGGAACCGTGAGAGATTATATTTACCAGGAAAAAATGAACCCTTCCAATCAGGTTGAGTGAATATAACAGGTTATCTGCTCCAAAACTTCCAGTACAAATATTAGCAGGGCTTCCAACACCCTCTTTAATTACCTCCTTCCCAAGCATACTGTAGATCCAAGACCGTGTTTACGCACAGTGGGTGCAGATCTAAAGCTAAACATCTCCTTGAACGGCGCTCTCTGAGTGTTCTTAGCCATTTCTTGTGCTTCTGGCTTTGTCTCTTTACCATAAACCATCCCCCTCACCACCCTCAGAGTTAAGCAGCTGATAGGAAGGTCCTGGGAGCAGATAGAGCTTCCTCCATGCAGTCATCTAGGGAACTGTTCACGCTGTGCATGGTGATGCCCAGCTCTTTGCCATCACAGATTTTGAGATGCAGTTGGCAGGACTGCTTTTACAGATCTGCTTTTCTTAAAGTGACAGGCAGCACTGGAGAAGACATTTACCCTTCAGGGACTCCCTGCAAGAGTCTTCTGGTGACCCCTGGGGAGTCCCTGTCCTACCTGCTGACCTGGCTGCATTACCTTCATTGATGATCTGTTTGGCAGCAACAGAGGAGGAGAGGTGAATGGGCTCCATGAAGATGCTCTCAGTTTCCGCGTCAGAGACCATTGAGTACCTAAGGGAAAAGAGAGATGTGAGCTGACCGGGGCAGCATCCGAGGGAAGACAGTCTCCTTGGTTTAGAGCAGAAATCTGGGTCTCATTTTAGTCGCAGATGGGAAGCAATGAGCAGTAGAGGGAAAGCATTCCTCAGTTTAGGGAACCCGGAAGCGGTGGGTGCCTTATGTCTCAGATGACATCTGGTTTTAGTACCTCTTTAGAGGTGTGGGAGTTGATATTAAATGATATAGTCTAGGTTGTGGAGGGAAATATGCATGCTTGAGATGGCTTCAGTTTCTTAGATACCACACTGCTCATTTTTTTCTTTGCTATCAATACTTTTTTCCTTTTCTTTTTTGAGACAGAAGCTTACTATGTAGCTCAAGCTAGCCTTGAACTCACGGGGACCCTCCTGTCTCAGTCTCCTGAGTGCAGACATTACAGGTATGCAACACCACACCCAGCTCAGGATGTCCCTCACTATGCCTTTCCAGGAGATTTGCTGAGTAGTGGCTGAGTCGCAGCCACCATGTCCTTTTCCCGTGTCTTCTGCTTGGAAGGTGCAGGTATATCACCATGTGAAATGCAGAGCTATGCTCATATGCATAGGTCCTGATTCGGATCATAAGAAAGGGTCAGGCTGAGCCCAGGGATGCAACAGTAGCTTGAGTACCTGCCAAGGCTGTTTCTCAAGAGGAACTCAGGGGAGGCATCCAAGGGACCACTAAGGCGTGTGCAGAACCAGGGCAGAGACAAGCACTAGGAGCCCACTGTAGTTCACTAGCGAACTGCTTCCTAGTGAGCGGCTTTCCAGATGGTGGGGTAAGCTCTGGGGCTTACTTTTTGTCATCTTTAGTATCAAAGAGGTTAAAATGAGGAGATTTCATGAATATCATTTTTCAGTTCCTTTTGGAATTTATTTCTAACACATCTTCTACAAAGCACATATTATTACTCTTGCTTTGCAAATTAAGAAACTGTGGCTCAGGGAGTCTAAGGCAGATGCCCACAAAAGCAAGTCAATAGCAGGGCTATATTGTATTAAACTTCAGGCAATCCTGCTCTAAGTTCAGTCTTCTCTTCACCACAGTACACTGATACCATGGTTGGAGCAGGGAGGTGAGACCAGGGGTAGAATCAACCCCACCTGGAGTCTCAGGCCCTATACAAGACTTTGACATAGAAAAGTATGAGGCAAGATCAAAATACATTGTGTGCATTTTAAAAATCATTACAGTAAAAGACACATTGCCATTAATCTCCCTAATAATAGTCCTCCTTATTGTGAAAAAATTTATTCCATCGTTCTTGCACTTTCTGAAGTAGTTCTGGAAGTCCTCTTTTGTGGATGTTTTTAGTTGTACTGTTATAGCTGCTTTTGTGTCCTGAATCCATTCAAAATGTCGACCTGGCATGGTCATTTTGATTTTGGGGTAAAGTCAAAGTTGCGGGATGCCAGACCCAGTGAAGAAAGTGGGTGAGGGTGAGGACATACCATCATGTTTTCACCAGCCTGCCTTTCTCTTTGGATGGCACTTGGCAGCCACACTCACTTATTTTTAATCCTGCCTCACAAAGATACTCAGAAAAGAGGACTTCCAGAACTGTTTCCTAAAAGTGGCAGGAAGAGTGAGGATAAACATTTTCAAAGTAAGGGAGTGTCTTGAGGGGAATTAATAGCAATATATCTTTTACTCTAATAAAAAATATTAAATTTAAATGCTCACCATATTTTTTGATCACTGCATGTCCTTAAAAATAGTTGTTGAGAAGATGAATGGGAGGGTGGGTGTACTGAGTAGAGTGGAGATGAGGGAGGCTGAGCCCAGGAGAACTGAATAAAGTCAGCTTGAGCTAAGATAGATCGGAATAGAATTGAAATGATTAGCAGAACAGTTCTTTAGTAGCACATGGCCATGTCAGCCTGGAGGGAACATTTACTGCGTGTCAGCAAGACCATGGAAAAAGAAGTGCCCTTGCCAGTGACTCTAGCTGGAATGGCATGTGATTGCTTCTACTCGGGATGTGTGTGGCCAGACCTGCTTCCTCCGTGCACTTAGCAATCTGCTTGGTTCCTGAGAGTTTTCCAACAGCACCTGGGTTCATCTTTCCCATTCTAGCACTGAGCACTCCTTGGAATCACAGGATGCACTTTCAAATAAACATGACCAGGGAATTAAGGTAGATAAATAAAGGTAAGCCTTGTGGGATATTATCCTAGGATGTTAGAACTGTGAAGATCTTTAGAAATTTCATAGTTGGTGAAGGTAATTAAAATTAGGACTCCTGGAAGGAGTAGGTAGAGATTAACAGGCTGGTGTTATTTAACTTAAATCCTCTACTTCCTTCCTTTTTGCCACAAATAACAGAATTTCTTTCTTTTTTTCCTTTTTTTTTTTTCTTGGCTGAATAGCGTCCCATTGCATATGTATGCCACATTTTCTTCATCCGCTGACCCATTGGTGGATGCCTCAGTTGATTTCATAGTTTGGCTGTTATGACTAGTTCTCCAACAAACATAGGAGTGGAGATATCTCTTTGATATGCTGATTTCCTTTCCTTTGGATATAAACCCAGAAATGGGATAGTTAAATCATGTGATAGAGCTAGTTTTCATTTTTTAAAGAGCCTCCATATTGGTTTTCATAATGGCTATAGTAATTAACATTCCCATCAGCAATGTATGAAGAATTCCTTTTTCTCTGCATCCTCACCAGGACTTGCTATATCTTTTGATTTTTTGATAATAGCCATTCCGACTCGGAAAGATACAATGTTATAGCTTTGATTTACATTTTCTTGACCCCTAATCACATTGAGCATTTTTTTCATATGCCTGTTGGCCATTTGTATTTCTTCTTTTGAGAAATGTCGATTTAAATCATTTACCTAATTTTATTTGGATCATTTGATTTTTGCTGTTAAGGGTTTTGTGTTCTTTATGTATTCTGACTATTAGGCTCTTGTCAGATGAGTCATTTGCCAATATTTTACTCCATTCTGTAGGTTGTCTCTTCACTGTACTGTTTACTTTGCTGTGTAGAAGCTTTTTGTTTGGTCTAATCTCATTTATCTATTTTGGTTTTGTTTCTCATGCTTTTTGGTATCTCATAAAAAATCATTGCATATACCGATGTCTTAAAGTGTTTCCTCTATATTTTCTTTAGTAATACTTTCCTTTTAGTTCCATAATTTATGTTTTGGTCTTTATCCATTTCAAGCTGATTTTTTTATATGAGAGAAAATAATCAAGTTTAACTCTTCTGCCTAAATAATTTTGTTTTACCAACATCATTTATTAGTGAGTCTATAATTTCTCCAGTGTATCTTTTTCATATCTTTGTTGTGATTTAGTTTGCTGTGAGTTTACTTATGTGGGTTTATTTCTAGGATCTCTATTCTTTTCCACTGGTCTCTGTGTTTGATTTTATTCTTGTACCATGCTGCCTTGGTTAGTACTATAGCACTGTAGTAAGTCTCAAGATCTGCTATTGTGATGTTTCTATCCTTATTCTATTTGTTTATGATTCTTTTGACTCTTCAGCATTTTATGTTTCCATATGAGTTTTAAGAAGTTGTTTTCCCAATTTCTGTGAAGAATGCTATTGATATTTTAGTGGAAATTGCCATGAATCTCTAAATTACTTAAGGTGATATGAACATTTTAGTAACATTAATTCTTTCAATGTAAGAACATGGGAGGTCTTTCTATTTTTATGTATTCTTTTCAATCTCTTTTATCAGTGTTTTGTAAATTTCATTGTAGTGGCTAAATTGGTTAAATTTATTCCTATTTTTTTGTTTTGGTTAGATTTGCAGCTATTATGAACAAGATTGTCATCTTGATTTCCTTTTCAGCAAGTTCATTTTTTGTGTTTGTATATAAAAATCTTGCTTATGTTTATATGTTGATTTAGTATTTTGCAATCTTAATGAATTCTTTTACTAGTTCTATGTCTTCTGGTGGAGATGTTAGATTTTTCTATATATGGAATCATGTAATTCACAAAACAGGGATATTTTTACTCCCTCCCTGTCTCAGTTTTTTGTTGCTAAGACAAAATGCCCAACACCCAAAGTAAAGTGATGAAAGTGATGAAAGGTTTATTTAGCTCACAGTCTGTAGAGGTTTCAGCTAGAATCAGATGGCTCCACAGCAGGGTGACATGGCAGACAGGGATTGCAGAAGGTAAACAGTTTATGGTGAGCAAAAGATAGCAAAGCAAGCTAGCAAGCAGTCAAGGGACAAGACAAAGCCTTTTTCTGTCCCTTATACTGTGTCCAGGCTACCAGAATTTGGGTGGTGCCAAACCAATCAGTGGACTGAGTTAGTAATCACCCACTTGTAATGCTAGGACCCTTCATCCTAGCTTGCACCGTGAATCAATCACACACTTCAGTTCGTGCTCCCCCGAGAAAGCCCCACCTATGACTGCATGAGATTTTGAGGAAACATCTAACTACAAGCCACAATACTACCTTTCCTTCCTGTTTGTTTGGCTTTTATTTATTTCTCTTGCCTAAATCCTCCTCCAGTACTATGTTGAGTGAGTGTTGAGAGTGCACGTTTTGTTTTAGATCTCTGAGGAAATGCTCACAACTTTTCCTGTTTATTATGATGATGGTTATGAGTTTGTCTTATATAGCTTTTGATGTGTTGAAATATATTCTTTTATATGCAATTTACTCAGTTTTATCATGAAAGTTTGTTGAATTTTACCGTTTTCTTTTTCCTGCATCTATTGAGGATATCACATGATTTTTCCTTCATTCTGTTGATACAATGCATTGCATTTATTGATTTGTGTATGTGTCAAATCATCCTGAATCCCTGGAGTAAGTCATTCTTGTTTACGGTGAATGGTCTCTCTGATGAGCTATTGGATTTAATTCTCTAGTGTTTTGTTGAGAACTTTTGCATCTCTGTTTACCAATAATATTGATTTGTATTTTTCTTTTTGTTGTTGTGTGCTTATTTGAGCTTGGTGTAGGGTAATGCTTATCTAGCAGGATGAGT